AAAAGCTGAGTAACATAGGCTTTTTTTTACAATAACTTTACGTAGACGAAGTCGCGAGCAAAACCCAGTGACTTAATAAAGACGTTAGTAACTCACTTGACTAGCTCAGATCTTAAAGCTTCTCTCATCTCGATGACTCTGCTTGACATAAGCTTGATGTGATCTCTCCTGTAAAGTACATATCAACTGTTAAGAAAATCAGCACTACGCTGGAGGATTGGCGCAACACTAGATCATTGGCATATACGTCCCATCCCTATGACATCTGTCAATGTCATTCAGACTTGCAGAATTAGCTTGCCATTCCGGCGCGAGTTGTCTCTCACTATACGTCCCCACTGGGGGGACTTGTAGTCTACCCTAATAAGGGGTGACGGCCATAGACAACCACGTTGGCCCACTGCGGGTTGACTTCACACATATATTTTAATTTCTACGCCGATATGTGCAACCATCACGATGTGTCCCTTCATCGTAAGAACGTCGGGATAATAAAGTACATAAGTAATTCAAAAAAATCGAAAGTCACACGGCGGGATTCGAATCCAAGACCTGTAGATTACATGTCAAGTGCTCGAACCCCTGAGCCACCGACGCTCGATGTCTAAAAGTACATAAGACGAATTTCAATATAGTATGGTACATGACATTGTTACTTGCCATTGATCGAAGAGATGTTTGTTAGAGAGCGCGGTGGCGACGACGCGCGCGCCGTGCGCCGGCGGGTTGGAGTACATCCCGCGCACGATCCACGTCAGCTGGGACTTCGCCGGCGCCACGAACTTCGCCTCGGACATCACTATGGCCAGATTGCCCACACGCTCGTCTGAAAACAGTCACAAATTATGTTTACATATTGGACCTAAATGAGAACCTTGTGGAATCCCGAATGAAAATCCTTCCCAACTATGTATATTAAGATTTTACTATGTATATTAAGATATACTAGTAATATTAAGATTTTAAAATAAATCGATAAGTTATAGTACAAACAGTTTATATCTCTAACTTATACAATTTTTTTTCTAAATCTTAATATAGTGATAAAAACTAGAATATCAACTGAGTCAAAGGCATCATATAAAACGATTATAAAATAAATCAATACTTACTGTAAAGTCCGAAGTTCTTAGCATAAGACTGAGCGCAGACGAGTTCGAAGCCTCGCTTGACGAAGTAGCGTACAGCCCAGGCATCACGGTCCAGGTCTCCTGAAGCGAACCCTTGGTACGCGCTATCGAAGAACGGGAACAACTTGCGTTCCTGTAAACAACGAACAGTTCGATACGTTTTGTTCCGCTACTTAGTCAGTCCTATCAAACTAATTTTAAGCTATCTGAGCCTCTATCAGCCGATGATGGCAAAGGCCCTAAAATTCCTATTTTGCTTAAACTCACTTTTACCAAATTCTTGTAAATTGTCTGACAATAATCCAAGAATAAAATATGCGATGGAAATATCGGATTTTGTTCCCTTATGTGACAGTGACGTCATTTTTAAGCTATGTGAGCCTCTATCAGCCAGTGGTGTCAGCCCTTAATGTTTCATCACCAACCT